CTGTGTCTGGAGCCCGGTGCCAAGACAAAGTAGATCAAGAGCAATGTACATGGTTGGGGAGCATGTACGGACCTGGATCAATAAACCCACACACACATGGAACAGATGCATTATATCATCTTAACAAATGGTTTAGCAACTTGCTCCAGGCCCGAAGGAGAATCACTGACCAGGCTGGGATTCAATGTCAGGGCTCCCAGCCTTGCACCCCTGGAGCTATCCGCAGCAGCCGAGAGGTGACTCTTCAGAGCTGGTGTTATAACGGCAGCACATAGAGTGGCCTTTTCCCTTGCACAAGGCACTTAAGGCAGCAAAAAGAAAGAAGAGGAGTGGGTGGGGAGGAATGGGGGGCGGGCACAGAGAAGCACTGGGTTGGGACTCAGGAGATCTAGGTCACTCCCTTACTCTGCCACAGACTGAGTGACCCTGGATAAGTCACTTTCTCTCTGCTTCTTAATTCCCCCTGTGTAAAATGGGGGGGTGGGGAGCGGAGGGAAAGGGAAGGAAGAAAGTGAAAACATTCCCACCCTCACAGAAATACTATAGGGATGACATCATGAACGATGAGATCACAGAACAGAGATCAATGGGACGTCCGCTGTCTTACCACACAATACCAGCCTTGCTAGGACTAATGATGATATGGATACGGACATCAGTCCCCTCTAGGAACCATCATGCCCTTGCAGACAGCTGTGAGGGCAACGCTCTCCTGACCGTGCACAAAAACCAGCCAGGCTGTCAGGAGCTCACAGCCCAGAGCCAACGCAACTCCAAGCACAAGGAGGTAGAGCCCAGGGGGCAGAGACTTGCAGGAAGACACAGGGATAAGCAGCAGTAGGAGAATGTGCATGCAAAGGCAGAGCCAGGGTACAAGATGCAGGGAGGAGAGGGGGAGAGAGCAGGTCTGCACAGACTCCTTAAAGGCTCTATAGCAAACAGTCAAAAGAGGGGTAAAACAATTCCCCATCCCTGCATTAAATCAATGCATCCATCAGGTCATTTCCTACTGCACCTGGAGATACAAGCTGCCTCTTTCCTCGGAAACAGCAAAGTCCGGACCTATGCAAGGAAGCCCCGAGACTCACCAAGACGTCCAGGGACGGAGGCTGGATGGAGATGTAGATGGGATTCAGATCTGTCTTCTTGATGTTCTTGACTCCCTGCATGTCAACGTCCAGCACGCAGATCTGGTTCTGGGCCTGCACGGCCTGTACGGCGGCTTTGCTGGGGGAGGGAGGGGAAGGAACTGGTTACTGTGCAGGGAGAGCTGCGAGTCCACACGGCTCCAGCAGCGGGCCCTCGCCCCTCAGGTGGACTGTACTGGACCGCACCACACCCCATATGGTGGTCTTTTGCATGGACATTTCCCTTGATGCCCAGACTCCCGCGTCCCTGGGGGAGGCCGGAGAGCAAACTAACATTGGAAACGTGCCTCAGTTGTGTTAACAGCTGTATCTCTCTCCTCCTAGGGAATGGGGGTGGTTCTAACCAGCTGGGGACCCCAAGATCCCAGCTCCTTGGACGGAGGGAGTGAGGAGTGGCAGGACCGCCTTTCCCACCATCCATGGCCTAGAGAACACACCGGGAAGCCTACATCAACCTGAGTGGAAAGCCATGGAGACGGCTCTTCATTCTCTCTTCATCCGTGGAAATGGATGAAGCGAGGACGCTGCTTTCCACTGGGGCAAGCACTGAGCAGCCTGCTCAAGGTCTCTGGCACTGGGGATCAAATGCCAGCGCTTCTGCAAGTCCAGAACTATGAAGGCGGCAACACCATCAAAAACAGAGATGCCTGGAGGAAGAGCTTTTTGAAGGGAATGCAACTATCTTTGCTCCTACAGTCCCTGGAAAAGGAAGGATCTTCCACAGATCTGCTGGTTTGGGACAACACAGTTAAAATGCTCATTAAACCAGCCTCTCCTTGGGCTGCCTTGGGCCCTTAGGCAGTCCTGGAGAATCACCCCAGCTTCTCCCTATGTTTCTACGAGAGGAAAGCCAGCATCTTAAAAGGACTCCCATTACCTGAATGCATAGAGGAGAACTGCCCAGAATAATAAAATGACCAGGTCTAAGCTCTTTGGGCAGGGGCTGGCTTTTTCAGTTCTGGATTTGTTCAGTGCTTGGCCTGATGGAGCTGATGGTCATGGCTAGGGATCTTCAGCAGTAATGCTGGAGAAATCCTGAGGCCGTCCGAAGTCGAGTTCAAATTGCCTGAAGGCGGCAGCAGAGGATAAAAGGAGCTGCTGTCAAGCCTCAAAACAATTACTAAGCTTGTCTTGTGATGCTCAGTCCCTCACCACCCTCACACGTTCCCCTGTTCTCGAGGCCCTGCCTACCCTGGGCACTAGTGAGTGTGCTCCCGTCCTTGGGCTACCGCTGTTAGTGAATTCTATGGGATGAAGGCAGATGAACAGCCTGCCCATTCACCCCCGCATCCCTCGTGCCCTCTCCATGCTGGCCTCTGCCCACAGGCTTTCCCCCAAGTCTGCTCAGCCACTGCTGCCTCCTCCCAAATTCTTCCTTCAGGCCCCTGAGAGCTAACAGATCCCCAAGGGACAGTGATGCCTGCCCCTGGCTGGACCATCCCTGTCCCAGAGAGGCAGGTTTATGGAGGGCAGCAATCTGTCCTTCTTCCCCAGTGAGTCTCGTTCCCTAAGCCGTGGCCTCCCTGGAGCCCTAGGACGGCTGCAGTAATAGCGATTCCATCAGAGAAGGACCCCGATTCCTCCGGGGCAGGAAAAGCCATGAGCTCCATTGCTCCCATCACTTCACTGGGAGCCGACCTCCCCTCCACAGTCCTGCCTATGGATGCAGTTGCTGTGCCCTTCTTCCTTTCAGCTCCTCTTTCCTGGAGCCTTATTCGATTTGTGGGTATTTCTCTTTACCCTGTTTACTTCCCCCACCCACGACTCCTCCATCTTCCTCCTTCAGCTTTCAGCCCACAGCCACGACTCCTCTCCCTTCTGCCACCCAGGTGGCCCGTTCCCCATCTACTTCCAGTCCCTTACCCCAGGCCTGCGTGCCATGTCCTCAAAACGTGGTGGGAGAAGAAAACACTAGGCAACAGAGAACAGCTGACGAGCACAGCGTAACAGGAGCTCGTAAGAAGACAGAGAGGCCTGTGTGGTCCTAGAAGAGGCTGTTGCTCATAGATTTCATAGACATTAGGGCTGGAAGGGACCTCGGAAGATCATCGAGTCCAGCCCCTGCCCAAAGGGCAGGAAGTCAGCTGGGGTCATAGGATTCCAGCAAGATAAGCATCCATAGGACAAGCTCGTGGGACAAGAGTGATTTAGGGTGCCACTCATCTCACAGATGGAGAATTGCAAGTTATACTGAAAGCAGTACAAGGAAGCACCGCAGCATCTGGCTACAGAGGCCAGAAGAAGCTTTGCCTATGGAAACCTGATACACGATGCAAAGAAAAGTCCTGGAAAGGAAGGTGGGGGGGAGGGGGGCAGGGCATCCAGGACTCAGGCTCAAGCCACCCAGGACTCAGGTCCAAGCCACGGGCACTGAGCACATAGGCATGGTGATCACTGCTTGCTCAGATGGAGAGGAAGGACTTAACTAGACTTGGGAGACATGGGTTCAATGCCCTGCTCTTTCACAGGCTGCCCACGTGGTCATGGGCAAGCCACGTAGCCTCACTGCCCCCAGCTGTAAAGTGGGTCTAATTTCCTCCCAACACAGGGTGTTGTAAGAACTGCATCCAAGAGGGTGAAGTGGCTCAGATACCTCAACATCTAAGCAGAGCGATGCAAGAGGACAATTCATTCCAGTCCCTGTCCCCATGGCACAGAACTTTTTTAAACAGCAGCAAGGAGGGGAAAGCCGGGTTGTGAAACAATCCCTGCTGCAGCAGGCGATGCGAGTCACGGCTTCCACGGTCACTGCTGGGATTCCCACAGTAATCCCAGTTTAAAGCCTTCGAACCCCACCTTGTGATTGTGACTGTGCACTGTTTAAACACTGCAACCCACCAGCTTGCCCCTCTGCAGACTGAGCTCCTCACGGCTCTGAATCACAGCTCTATTTTCTTACCCCAGATCCACAAATGCAGTTAGTAACCAGAGCCATGGCTCTATCCAGCATGGACCCACATTGTCCTGAATGCTAAACCTTTAACTGGTTTTTCCCTTCTCCTCCCAGTTACAAGCTCTAAAACCACAAAGCATCCTCAACTACCATTGATTTCAATGGGAGTGGAGAGTACAGACTCAGTCTCTACAACTGCACACACATACAAAGCAAAAATATCGGTGGTCTGTCTCAAGACAACTTCAGAGGCAAGCACTCAGCATTATTTGGGGGGGAAAAAAGGTCCCTTTAAGTAATCCACTCCTGCTGGGAGATGCATGCAAAATCATTAATCTGAAAATATCTTGGTCCTAATGATGTCTGAGGATCAGCTGTTCTTCAGAATCACTTGACCCTTTCACAGATAGAAGAACCTGAATGAAAGAGCGTAATTCTATCTCTTCTGTCACGATAATATGGTGGAGGAAACATAAGGATCATGGTCATGTTTAACGATGCCAGCAATAATCTGAATTAAAAGATTGTCAAGTATTTGGTCCCCTGAAATCATGAATCACTTCAGGCATCCAGGTTGTAATCGTATTGGTCTAGAGGCAAAAGGAATCAAAACTCGTGACAGAGGTGATATCTTTTATTATTTTTTGCAAATATCTAATTGGTCTAATAAAAGATATCATCTCTGCCACAAATTTGGAATCACTTCAGAAAATGTGGACTTTTTTTTTACGGCTGTATATACGTGACGCCATAGCCGTGTTAGAATTAGAGACCTGAGGAAGAACGTCTTACATTCGAACGCGTGTCTACCTTTATCCCAACTACATCGCTGGTCCAATAAAATATATTACCCTAAGAAATCCCCATTTTTTTTTCCCCTTTGCATATTTTATTGTAAACACCATCATTTTAGTTTACTTTTAAAACCATTTTCAATTTTAATTCCAATGCATTCTACTACTGATAAGGTGTCCTAATCATTTCATTGTCACCATTAATGCCTTCAGATCTGACCATCATTACCATGAGAGTTTTTGTTAAACGACTTCTAATTAATATTGCAGCTGCCTTTGTGGCTTATGAACAAACAGCTTGGAGGCCAAGAGTGATGCTATTTTAAAATCTGCCTAGCTGAGGGTGGCGACCACATGGAGTTTAATGTGCAAACATTAACTCTCCCAGACTGGAGCACAGAAGCTTGTTTCCACTTGCAATAGAAACGATATAGGTTTATGCCAGCTGGACTGATCATGCTTGGGACACAAGCTATCCTAGGGCGGGATGGGGATTTCAAGTCCTACTTTGTTTAATTCTAGTGTGGATTCTATGAACCACATGAGTTTCAGTCAGACTTTGGGCCTTGAACCGAATGTCAAGTGCTGCACATGTCTCCTGAAGACTCTCTCCACAGGGGTAGATGTCACCTCCTATGGGTAGTGACAGAATAAAATGAAGCGTGCCATGCTGCCAAAGTGAGAAGCTTCACCTAAGGAGAGCATCTGCCTGGTTTGCAAAGAAGAGCATCATGAACACACAGCCCCAACGCCATCTTCATGGAGAACACAAGAGTGAGTCAACCCCTGGACTACTGGAGATGGTGCAATTGTTACAGACCTTGTTCCGTACATATTTCCAGAGAACTCTGCGTGCTCGATAAACTCGCCAGCATTGACGTCCTTCAGCATATCTTCTCTGGTCACAAAGTGGTAATCTGGATAAGTGATATTGAAAATACACATCAATTCACAGCTTGTCCTTGACTTGAAAACACGTTTAAGGCTCAGGGCCAAGTTTAGTCAAGTGTTTAATACACGCTGAAGCATCCACATGACTATTTGGGAACAGATTTGTGAGGTGAGGCAGTATTTAAAAAAAAAAAAACCAAAACAAACAAACAAAAAAAATCAGACTAACCATGCAGTTGGGAAAGATATTAAGTCAACCACTAAAGGTCCTTCCCGAGGGCTGGGAAAGAAGCAGGTTCCCGGTATCTGGTTGCAGCTATAGCTGCTTCTTTTCCAAAGTTGAGAAAGGGGATTTTGTAGTTGTCTAACATCTCTCTCAACTACATAGAAACCAGGCACCTAAATCATCTTTGTGATCCTTTAAATGGTAACTGAAGACCAATTTTCAGACTTGAGTACCTGGAAACGAGGCACCTAAAACCATTCAAAAATACTGCCTCACCCCTCAAATCTTGCTTCTCTTATATTCCCTGGACCATGCTGGCTATACCACCCCCATCATTCTGGACAACTAAGTGCTGATTTAGGTGCCTGGCTTCTGGGTACTCAAGTCTGAAAACTGGTCTTTCAGTTATCATGTAAAGGATCACAAAAGCTGCCCTTTCTTCTCACCACGGTATCTGTTAACACCCTCCGCATCTTTACACTGGGCCAGATAATACCCTTTCTGCTGTTTACATTGATACTTCTGCTCTGGTTCTCCAGTGACTATCTCGTTACAGTACCAGGCTGGCAAAACACTGTGATAGTAAGCTCACTTTCAGACTAAACACTTTGCTTTTGCTGGGGAAGCCACCCCTCACCTCTCCAACAAAACATACCCAAAAATCTCCAGTCTGGGCTGAAGTGTGCTGGCTCATTTTGAAGGGAAAAAAAACCACACACCTCATGTTTGCATCTCTGAAATATCCAAGAATAAAAGGCACCAGCAAGTCATTTAATTTGCCTTTAGACCCTGGAATGACTCTAGCATTCAAGCCCTGTTTGCTCTGGCAGTTGAGATCAGTCTCACGGCTCCCTGCAAATCAGTAACAAAGGAGTCATCTCCGATTTCATTGGGGCTCTATTTACTATTAGTAGCACAGTTCTTGGATTAAGGATGCAGTCCAGAGTTTAACAACCTGTGTGACTGAAGGCCAAGCTTTTCAAAACTGGGCATGTCGAGTTAAGCTCTTAAATCCATAAAGAGATTCCTAATTAGAGCAGCCTGGTTTTCAGATGTGCTGAACACACAGGAGCTCCCACTGAAGCTGCACAGGAGCTGATGAACACCTGGCATGGTTGAAAATATAGGCTGCTGAAGTGTTTTGTTATAGACCAAGGAGCCTGACTTCAGGCACCTGCTTTTGAAAATCCTGGTCCCCACATCACAGTGGCAGCAGCTGAGGAAGAAGTGTGGGAGTGCCTGCCTTCTTGTCTAACCCCACCACTCACTTCTTCCAGCATCTGGGATAAACCTGGACTCCGGTTCTAGTGCACCTGCTCTATTCTTCCTCACATACTGCTGGGTAATGCTGCTATGTGCTATTGCAGCTGCACTGTGCCACAGCCCAGCCAGCCTCATTCACTGAAGGATGAAGGGATCCTTGTGTATCGTATGCAGCTTTGGTGTATCAGTCTCTCTGGGACTGTTTGGCATGAAAGGAGCAATGGAGAAGTGTGAAAGACTGTTTTGAAGCAGATGCTCCTCCAGCCTGCCAGCAGGCCAAAGAAAAAACACTCTGCCAACTCTAAGGAAACTCATTAGCCTGGCTTCCCAGCAATGGCACATTCAGTGGACTCCTCCTTTCAGCTACAAAGATTGCTAAGAGATTTATCCATCCCTTGGCTTCAAACAGGTCTGCCCTTCAGCTTCTACCAGCAGAGCCTGCTGCTTATCTCCAGCTCTGTAAATTCCACCTCCGCTCCCACAGGAAATGCTGTCTGGACCAGGGGTGTCGCACATACAGCCCGCAGGCCAGAGCCCCATACCTTGGATCCTGGTGTTGCCCCAGACTGACCCAGGGTGCAGTACCCAGGATGTGCACTGCCTGCTGGGGCCGGGTCTCAGGCTGTGCTGACCACAGTACTTGCTCTGCACAAACCACGCTATCCACGGGGGCTGGTGTCCCAGATTGGCATGTGCTGCATATGCTGGATCAGGCATATGCATGGAGGAGGGGAAGAGGGGTTCGTGGGCTCATAGGAGTTTGACACCATTGGTCTACACCACTCTGAGCTGTGGCCCTGCCTCACCTGATGGCATGCACTGGTGCAACATACTGACCTTTGCCATTCACTTCTCCTGGTCGCGGCTGCCGGGTGGTGTCTGCAAACAAAGACAGTTCTGTAATTTTGCAATTCACCCAACAGTGCAATAAAGCCAAAAAAAGCAATAAAAAGTGACCCCCCCCTGGAAGCTTAATTCAATCAATCAGTGGGCCATTTGATCCCCTACTGATCAAAACTTCTGGAACCATTGTGACTGGTGTGCAACACAGCTTGCCTTGACAGCAGAATCCAGATCCTTCCTGGGGGTGTTCCCCATCCCCTGCTATGAAGATGAGGGTTTATGAACTAGCCAGGAGCACACACAGGTGCAGAAGCAGTTGTGCAGGACTGCTGAGATGCTCCAGCTGTTTTCTGTGGCTTTTATTTCAAAGGGGGCTGCTTCTCCTACCAGCTGTGCGGAGAACTGGCATTCTCTGAAGTAAAGGCTGCAGCCAACAGCTGAATGCCTCATCTGTAACTTTGCAGCCTGGCACTAAGCAAGCAGGTTGTGAGCCCCCCAGGTACAAACGATCCAGGTTCTACTCGACTTGTGTCATAACACTTGCCTAAAACAATAGGTAAATACATAAAGGAAGGAGGCCCTGTGGAGAAGGTAGTTCCCCAAGACTTGCAAGGTCTGGCTTGAATTTTCTGTTTCTGCAAAAACTCCCTGTGTAGCCTAGACAAGTCACTCCAGGACTTTGTGCAGGTAACAGCACTGCTCTACCTCAGTGCTATATTCATTATAAGATCAGGAAGCGTCTGAATGCCCTGGTGACAGGGGCCACATATACTGCCTAAAACAAACTGTCTGAATTAAGTGGGTAACCAGATGGGAGTCCTTTATGGGAACGATTGTGATTTATGCTATTTGTCAATGTTTCTGCAAACCCCAAAGAAGTCAGCGTGCAATGCATCAGCTACTGCATTTCATACTGAGCAACATGAACTTGATCCAGGCAAAGCTGTGTTCATCCTTATACCTTTACAAAGCGCCGGTCACCGAGGTATAAGCACTGCATGTGGATTTACAAAGAAAGGCAGGCAACCCAGGGGGCGAGGAGTAATGCCTACTTCTGGGACATGGTAAGATTTGCGCTGGGGTGTTGGATGCACACACACATTAGATGTATCTGTGTCTCTGTCTCGGGCACTTCTGAAATGACCTTCAAAGTTACATTTGATAATTCAGGGGCTTCACCCACAGCCCCTCACGTACCAGCACAAATCAGACATTTCTCTTCCTTATCCATCTGGTAAGGAAGCCTGAAAATATCCTCCAGGGGCTCTATAAAATAAGTCCAGCTTCTCCAGATAGCTTAAGTGCCAGAGCAATTGCTCTCAAAACCCCAGTGATACTTCAAAGGGGTGACTTAAGGCAGTGGATAGTGAAGTATGTTTTACAACTGAGTAAGAGAAATCCCAGCCCTGCCATCCTCTGGAAAATGCTAGAGTGGGTTACCTGGGCAAGAGAACGGACCCTGCAGAGCATCATTACTGCTCACCAGATCTTTTAAAAATTACAAGTGCAGAACATGGCACTGACAGTCTGCAAAAGTGACTTTTTTTTTTAATATCTGTTTAAAGAAAACTGTTCGTGACCCAAGATCACTCGTTTCAACTGGGTTAGTGTGTATTCTAGGCTGCTAAGAGATAAACCTTTAATCTAGATGTAAGACGCTTACCAACTCCCCCTCTGCAGTGAGCACGCAGGCAGGGAAGATCACCTGGATCGCTCTTGCTTTGCACCCCGGACACAGCCAAGGCAGAGCTTTGTCTGGAATTTCTCTCCCGATGAACGTCTGCAGAGGCCCTTCTGGGGTATTTCCAAGGCCCTCTCATACCTAACTATCTCTCTCCCATCACACTTCTCAGCATGCATTTGGTTACTTGCTCCCTCTCCGTTTCCCACCAACTCCTCCTCCTAGGTTTTTAGATGAATTTTCTCAGTGCCACAAAGCTCAAGTTTGGGGTTAAATTTTGAGCCTTGCACAAATCTCCTGTGTGCTGTCTGCAGAGGCAGTTTATCAATCAAACCCCTGAACATGGGCATAGGGAGAGCAAGGGTCTCACGTCAGCACATCTCCCTTAATACACTGCAGTCATTCTGGGGCAAAGCTTGTGCCTCTCCATACATCCGTAAAGCATCTAATACATTGCGGATGCAACAAACATCTTGACACAAGACCATGCTGTATATGTGCAGGGTTTTTTACAATTTAAATCAGTTTAATATGTTGTGAACTAAACCACGTGTGCATCGTGGTTTTTTTTTTTTTTTGCAGAGCCTGCCCATGTGTCCCATGGTCAGGGGACAAGCTGCCAGTGGGCGCTGGACCTTCCTTCCACGGTGGTGGCACCCCTGGGAGGCTAGCTAGCAGCCCAACCAGGCAGCCCCGGGGGGCACTGCTGCCACGGAGGGAAGGACCAGGGCCCCCCTCAGCTCCGGGGCCACTCAGCCAGCCGGCCGCTTGCCCTCCGGCTGCGGGAGACACAGGCAAGCTCCATGGGGGCGGGAATCAGGCTCCTCACTGTAACAGTGATGGAAGCCCCTAAATTGAAACGGTGGGTTTTTAATCGTCGCAATTAAAAACCAACCATTTCAATTTAGGGGACTAAACCCCCGCCATGTGTACAATCAGCCGTGTAAAACAAGGTTCATAGGATGATAGGAAAGTAGGGCTGGAGGGGACCTTACAAGGTTATTAAGTCCAGCCCTCTGCTCAAGGCAGCATCGTTCCTGGCTAGATCACCCTACCCACGTGTCTGTGTAACCTGCTCTTGAAAACTTTAAAGGATGCCCATTCCACTTCTCTAGACAGCCTCTTCCAATGCCTGACCACGCTACTAGCCAGAAAGGTCCTCCTAATTTCCAACCATAAATTCACACAAGTTAAGATACTTCCATTAGCCCAAACCACAAGAGGTAACAGCTAGCATTTAATGGAATTTAGACCCGACTCAATGCCAGACTCCCTCTGAAGTCCCAGCTGTGCATACAAAATTACTACTAAAAGGGACCCTTGTCTTTTATTCTCGAGTTTTCAGGAAGGGAAGCTCCAGTTGTGCACGGATACTTACGGGAGACACTGAAGCCAAAGATGTTTTCATAGTCTTTAAGCAGCTTCTTTAGCAAGGTGCTCTTTCCTGCTCCTGATGGGCCGCTCAGCACGACGGGCCTTGGTCCCTGCATGGCTGGGGAGGGGAGAAGGCAAGCAGGTGTCTTGGTTAGAACACACAAAATCATGGGAAAACCACAGCAAAGTTCCAGCAGGTGCCTCGTCCTCTGCCTTTGAGAATAAGCCTCAGCAGCCAAAGGTCAGATCAGATGTTCAATGCCATGGCCTCAGAAAGGAGCAGAACAGGAGCTAGTCAGGGAATAGCGATCAAGTCAGATGAGCATATGCTAACTCCCATGCTGTGCAATTGAAACCACTAGTTAGGTGCTGGTGGTGCAAAGGGATGGACCGACAGCCCTGAAAGTGATACCCTTTCTCCCTGAAGTAGATACAAGACGAACAGAAGCAGTGCAGCAAGGCTGCCTTCTGCAATATGCTCCTGACACCTTAGTACTTACCTGGGAGGGTCTTGGATAGGGGTAGGGAGCTCGGTCACCATGGCCCAGGCAGCCATGGTTTCTCTGCCAATACAGCTGACAAGCTAGTGCCACATGCAGGGCAAGTCTCTGTGAAATGGATGCTTGTCCCCAAGGAAGTGAAATCCAACTCACTTCCTGGACCCAAAAGGAGCAGTGAATGGAAGCGAGTTCCTGTTAAACATGGACATACAAAAAAACTGGAACTCCTGGTTCCAAAATGATACCTTTTTATTAGACCAACTGGAAAATGGCAAGAAAACTGTCCTTTTCTGCAAACTTTCGGGATCAAAGTCCCTTCGGCAGGCTCTGGGAAAAGTGTAGATGGTACAAGATGCTAAAAAGTCCCCAAAGGTAGGAAATAAACTTCATTTTTGCACAGAGAGAGCTGAACATGGAAGGCTGTCCCTCTGGGTCCATGAGAGTGTCTTTGTGAGCTGTGTTGAGTAGCTCCCTGTTGGGCAGGGAGGAATTCAAATTGGCATCTGCACAGCTCAACATCCATCATGAATGTATCAAGCCATTCAGTCCCTGGAATGGATGTATCTAATAGGAGAAAGAATAAAACCCCACTGAATATTACAAGGGAGGAAAAGCCTTTAGATTTGTAGCTTGGAAATACGTTCTTTTATTCCAAGCTGTGGACTCAAACCATATGTTCTAGTGCAGAGGTGGGGAGCATACTGCAAGCAGCACGGGCAGCCTCCATGTGTGGCACACGGCACATTATGGATGGGACAAGCAGCCCAGTGGCATATAGAGCAAGAAGCAGAAAGCAGAGCAGCAGATCGGGCAGGGAAAGGGGACCAGGGTGGCACTTGGGGAGGATGTGGGCTTAATTTGCACACCCCTGCCAAAAGGTTGTCTTCCACTGTCTATGACAGCCTTATCTGTTAACGCTGCTATGAAGTACTGCATGCACCTATTAAATGAAGGCGACCTAAAAAACCCCACTAAATTGCATTTCAAGGTCTGCAGGAAGAGGAGTTTCTAAAAACCAGTTTCATTTATATTTAGCTGCATCACTAATGTGGACTTGCATCAACACATCCTGATCCAAGAGATGCACCAATAAGGATTGTTGATGCAACATACTTGGGAGGCAAGAAATCCAATTCTGGGTCATAAAAGCTCAGTTCACAAAGGGAGAGGTAAAAGGGCTACTACTGACCCAGATACCATTATTGCATTTAAGAGCAACGAGGTGAAGCACCTGTTCAAAGAGAAATACCTTGGGAAGTGAGAAAAGGGTAAAAAGTTAGAGCTGGCTGACATATATCCAAACGCCGTGTCCAAAATAAAGCCATTCCCCATCCCAATCACACAAGAAGTAGAGAAGTAAGGGAAGCCTCTCACGCGACTGGACATAGGTCTTCACCTACCCAAACTAATCTTGTGCAGGAAAGGATTTGGTGGCACCCTGGTTGAGCATCACGGCACTAGAAGTTTGCACATGGGAGGTCCCAGGTTCAAACTCCAATGAAGTCTGTCCTTTAAAAGAACATCCCACCGTCTCCCAATATCCAGCAGGCGCTCTGGTCGCCGAGTACATCACCTCCTGCCTTGGCATGTGCAGACAATACTCACTGAGGACACTGAAAACTAGAAGCCAGGCTTCGTCCAGCATTTGACCCGACTCGCTCTGTGACCTTAAGCCAAACAGCCCACCATTTGGAGGGGTGGAAAAAAAATTAAAAGAAAGAAGACTATTTACCTTCACACTTCCCTTGGGTAGGAGGGTTACTACTAATCAACTTGCCTGTAATGTAAAAATTCGTGTACTGACACCTCAAAGGCACAACCCTACTGAACCAACTGATTCGGTGGGTCTCTCCTTAAATGGAAGAAGAAGGAGAGCACAGTTTAAACCTGCACAGATTTTCCTGAGAAAATACATTTGTGTAAGCAGAAAAGCTCCCGGTGCCCCATTCGTTTTGAAGGGTTCAGAAGTCAAGCACTAGAAAACCCTTAAGTGTTTTAACGGGGATCTCAGCAATCTCACCGTGACCCTGCAAATCGCTTTTAAAATAGCCTCGTATCCAAGGCAGACGCTTGCAGGATTAGCCCCAGCCGTATTCTCGCTGCAGGTGTATAACTCACCTCCGACTCCGCTCAGGTCGACAAAAGCAGGTTGGAGGCTGGCATATTCCCCCATCTCATCTGCAGAGCACCACGGCCTGCCCGGGCACTTATGTTTTACATCTAATTTCAAAACCAACAAGAGTCCTCTGCATATCTCATGAGGAGGCTGCTGGGTGTTACCGGATATTTTTCCCCACAAGCACTGAAGGAGAAGCAAACTTGGAAATACAAATGAAGTCTTATTTATTCAGGAAGGACTTTAATTGTTTTGGGGGTGGGGTGAGGACAAGGACCATCCAGGTAATTGCAACTCAGGTGGGGACTGGATTATTTTATGCTCATAATGGAGTCACAACTGGAAGATAAAGAGTCTTATTAGGTTATCTAATCTATTCCCCGAGGGACAGAGGGGAATTGATCCCGACACAATGAATGCTTTGTCACATCTCGTTTCCCAAGTTTCCTTTGGGAGAGGTACCCATGGCTTAATCAGCCTGTAGGATGGTGGTCCAGGGAGTCAGACTGTGATGTCCCCAACTCTTTAGCCACATGCAAGTATTAGAAGTCCTGCTAATTACTGAAAAGGAGAGAATATATCCTTCCCCCACCAGCCGGGGAAGCGTCAAAGGGCTGGGCAGAGAAAGGGCCCTGAGTTCTTGTGAAAAATCACTCACCATCTGTTTTCTCAAGTCTCTACTTTTCCTCATCCACAAAGCAGGGACCCTAAACGATGAGTCTTAATTAATGCTCGTGAAATGCTACAGGACAGAACAAGGCAGCATTAATGGGAGATATTATTTCCTTCCAGGCCAGTACTGGGGATAGAAGGGGGCTCTCCCCAGCACCCAGACGCCAAACACTCACTATGTGATTTTTCTTCCATTACACCCAATGTCACCTTTGATGCACACAGCCTTCTTGCTCTTTCTGTGTCTACCAGCCTTTAAAAGTGACACGCCAAGCGTCACGGCCAAATGCTGGTGCAGACCTTTGTCCGTCAGCTCTGTGTTAACAACTCACTCTTCCTGGGGCACCTCTGTCCTTACTCCCTCGCGCAGCCGAGACGAACTCTCCGTCTCCCATTTGACATACCAATTGGGAATGCTCAGAAGATGTCCGCTTTCCCCTTTCATTCTTCCTTTCTCCTCACCTGCCTTTATGTCTCTCTCCTCCCAATTTTTCCTATCTATTAAAAGAGAGGAACTGAAAGCGACCAAGATCTGTGACAGTAACTTTCCGCTGCTCTTTCCTGGATCTCTTGAGCAGAGTGAACACCCCTTGCTTAACAGCCCTGGTGAATTAGCAACGCTCCCCTCTTATCGCTGCGAGCCTTACCTCTACCTTTTATGTCTTCCGGTCAAAGGATAAAATCCAGCTCTTGGGAGCAGCAGCCAATGGATCAGACAAGTGAGCAGGCAGAAAGCTGGCTGCATCTGCAAGCATAGTAAGCCTTAATTACAGATTCGCCATTTTAAGACAGCCAATGAGCACCTTCTGCTGATCTTTAATCTTCTCCTTTGGTTTTTTTCTGATCTCTCTACTCTTCTTATTACTAAACCTCCAGGCATGCAGGAGTCACGCCCTGGTTACTGGCAGCATATGCTTTCCACTTCAAAGCATATCCGGGCTTTAAGACGTGCAAACGATCAACTCCAATGACCATCTATATGCAAACCTACCCTGCCTTCTGCCTGAACATCACAGACAGCGTAGCAATGCTTTTTATTACAACAGGGAAGTGGTTTGCTATTTCGTAGAGAATCACAGAGAAGTGGGGTTGGAAGGGACCTCCATATGTCACCTAGTCCAACCCCCTGCCAGAGGCAGGATCATCCTTATCCAAACTATCCCGTACAAATCCATCATCTAACCTCTTAGTAAAACTAGCGCCAACCCTGACACAACACAAGACATAACACCCTACCTTGCCGCAGGTAAAGCGGGGGAATCACAGAAGCCAACATCCTGCTTCTATAAAAGATGGTTAATAAATACTCAAGAGATCCCAGGTAAAGGGCCATGCCCCTGCTACAGAGGAAGGCAAAGGCCCCCCACAGCCCTATCTGACCAGGAGGTAAAATCCTTCCGGACCCCAAATATGATGATCAGTCTGACCTTGAGTGGAAAGGCCAAGGCCAAGACCCTCTAGCCAGGATCCTTCGACTTTAAGTCCCAGCAGAAGCACTGAAACAGCCCAGTCAAAATCCCCAGTCTTGGCTGCACCCAGCGCCTGTGGGGAAGGCTTAAAAACACCCTGACAAGTAGCAGAAAGGGGAGGAGGAGGCAATCAAAGCCCAGAAGCCTGGGAAAGGACCACAGTAGAAGATATGCATTGCTACACGTAGATCATCCCCAACCACGGCTGTCCAACCCTTCTCAAACATCTTGTGATGGAAAGTCCACAACTTCCTTAGGCATCTATCTATTCCACTGCCTTCCTGCGCTAACGGTGAAGAAGTGTTTCCTGCTATCCAGTCCAAACCTACTTCCCTGCAACCTCAAGCCACTGGATATTTAA